GGGGGGGGGGGGGGGGGGGGGGGGGGGTGCCGGGCAGCCAGCTTCCCCACCTTGTTCAGTTAACAGAGGAGCCCGTGCCTACTTTGGGGAGGGGGGAGAGAAGGGATTAGACCTGCTTTTGGCACCAGTGCCTGGTCTCTTCCATCTTCCTGTACCACTACCTGATTTGGATAGTGTCACTTTGGGGGACAGAGGCTGCTTGACATGCAGAAGGTCCTGGGATCAATCAGATTTATTATGACCAACAGATCAGTCAGCAAAGAAGCACAGTTTACATATAAACACGTGTTCCACTGTTTCCACTGTGGAAACAGCTGGTAGGAATACAGACGCTGAGGGTGGGGAATATGTGCGTCTCTCCCTTCCAGTAGTGCTGAGGGCAGGCGGTTAGCGTGGGCTAGGGTGAAAGCTCTGTGGTATTTGGGGAGTTTGCCGGCTCAGAGTTTTAGCTGTGCTTCCCTGCCATCAGATAGAGATGTTCCTGAGCTCTATTGGCTCGGAGAACTGCATCCCGGATTCATTGTTTGAGTATTTAACTCCCAAGAACCCGAGATGGCATCTTGCTAAGGGGGAGAGAGGCAGAGCAGTTGTATTTTATTCTCCACCACATCCACCCAACCTGAGCAGTGGCTGTCCACAAGAACTAAGGGGGTTAATCCAGATGGGTTAAGATTTAGGTTGAGCCAAAAGCATACAGCTTGATACCAAATACAAGCTTCAAGTGACATCTGCCGCGATTCTGTTCTGAGAGTTGCATGTGGTGTGCAGCGAGAAACACCCAAATATACATGTGAGGAATTTAGATTGAACTGCTTCCAAGGGACGGAAGTCTCCATACAGATTTGCGAACCATACAGAAGATGGGGTGTCCCTTTGCCCCAGAAAACTTTAATTCCACAGGGGATACGTGAGTAGAAAAACCTCAGAATAGCTGGTGCCAGTCTTTGTGCACTCTTGGTAACCTGGTTCATTTGAGCCCTCCATGGACCTGTCAATTGAAACTCTGCCCCTAAATATTTGAAGATCTTCCCCTGTTCTGTGTTGTGTTCATCGATTTGCTTTCTATGTTCAACATATCTCCTGGTGAAGACTAGAATCTTGGTCTTTTGGAAATGTATTTTTAATAGTTCCCTTTCGTGGTATGCTCTTACACAGCCATTTTATCCTATCCAGGATAGGATAAAATGGATGTGTCGTCTGCATCTACTAGGGCGGGTATCGGTCTGCCTGCTAAATTTGGCGGGCAAAACTCTGGATTCAACAGAGCTAGCACCATTGAATTAATAAAAAAGTTAAATAGCACAGGGGCCAGAACCTCTTCCGTCATCCTGCACCATTATCTGATTTGGATGGTGTCACTTTGGGGAGCAGGGCCCAGGGCTGCTTGGTCTTGCAGAAGGTCGCAGGATCAATCCTGGCATCTCCAGTTAAAAACATCAGATAGGAGGTGATGTGATATGAAAGACCTCTGCTTAAGACCCTGAAGAGCCGCTGCCAGTCTGAGTAGACCAGGGACAGCCAAACTTGCTTTTAACATAAGAGCCACATGAAATAAATGTCGAGATGTTTGAGAGCCACAAGATGTGAACAAATATTACACACACATTTTTATTGGAAAATACACACATTTGCCTTTTATTAACATTAAATGAGAGACTGCCAAAAATAAAAACAAAAGGGGTTAAAAGCAGATATTGATCATTATATTTATTTGTCGAATGATATTTATTTGTCAGAGAGAGAGAGTGCAAATAGATGGGGGAGGGAGAGAAAGAAAGATGAAAAGAAAGAATTTAAAGTTAAAGTTGCTTTCTTTCTCTGTCCCCCCCCCCAGCCAACGCAGGGAGGGGAACACAGATCGGGGAGGCATGCCTCCCCTCCCCTTCTCCAGCCACCCTGCCAGGAGCCACACAATTTATACAAAAGAGCCACATGCGGTTCCCGAGCCACAGTTTGGCCACCCCTGGAGTAGACAGCCCTGACCTCGATGGAGTCCCAGGGGTCTGATTCAGTATTAAGGCAGCTTCATGTATGAGCCTCATAAGTCAGGTGGCTAAATTAGTAAGTGAGGCTACATTAGTAAGCGAGCCCATCTGCGTATGAAGGAGGCTGCCCAGGTAGGGCTTGGCATTCCAGACATAAATGCGTTCCTGCCCAGCAGACTTTCTTGGGGTGGGGGACCAACATCCCACCGATCCAGCTTTTGCTCAGAATGGGTCCAAACGTGGTGCTCGCATGACACACTGGCGTCAAGGTTACCATCTTGCATCTCGGTGAGCGCTCGTGATCTGTCACTGTGCAGCCCAGCTGTGCATTCAGCCTGGGTGAGTCTGTCCCGCTTCGCCGACCCTCTTGCTTTGTCCTCCACAGTGGTCCTCAGGCGTTCATGACGCAGAGTTGGGGCGGCACTTACCAGCCGTGGCAGCAGCCCGGACAGCAGGTTCCAAGTAAGTGTCTCGGGATTACAGGACGGGGGGGGAGGCAGTGGGCTGTGGAGTAGCGACCGAATTGGGACGCGGTGAAGCAGAAGTCCTTTGTTCCCTGCAGCACGTGGAATCTATTGCTGCAGGATGCCGTGGTGGCTGCCCCAAGACAAACGGGACAGCCAGCTAGTCAGAGTGTGATTGGACAGATAAATGGAGGTTGGGCCCATCGGTGGCTAGCTGCATGGGAAACTCTGTGTTCAGATGCAGCCTACCTCCGCAGCAGATGCTGGGGAGAGCTGTCGTAATCTTTGTGGCCGCCTTGCAAGATTCCACTAACATTTGACCACTGAGTGTTAAAGAGTGCCGGAATTCAAGACTTTGTCTTCAGATTGCAGATTTGGGGAGTAGACGGTTGGGTTTCGGGACACCCCCTTGTCCCTGTAAAACTCCCTACATTTTTGTGTCTGTGCGCTCCAAGATTCCCAGTGTCCTGTTTTCACTACGTGGTGCGAGTATTATCAGACAGGATAACCTCGCCTGAAGTGGTATAGCCCTGTGGCATGGCCCGCATGCTGCCAAATGCGTGAGAGTCTGGTCTGATTCAGATGCTGAGAGCTGGAGGTAGGGGAAGGGGCGTAGCTGAACGGCTGCAGGGGTGCCTCTGATGCGGAGGGCAGGAGAGGGGCTCCCTTCTTCCTGGGGCTACTGATATACATGGGCTCGGTCTTGAGAAGGGGACGTGTGAGCCACCACCACGTGGCTGCCTTGGAGACAGGAAGGAAATAAGGCCGCACTGAGAGGTAGGGGGGTAAAGAGGCACAAGGTGCAAGGGAGAGCAGTTTATTTGGCTTTCTAGATCCCAGCATGTTTTGTGTTAAGCTCCGTCAGGGGATCTAATAAAACAAAAGTTAAAATAGATGCAATTACGTCAATATATGTAAACACCAGTATTATATCATTTAAGACGTATAAGTTAATTTTAAAAAATTAAGATTTATTTTTTTTAAAAATGAATTTGGGAACCATGCGGAGCATGGCGTAGGGAACCCAACATATTCTCTGTTGTGCTACAAATAACGTCTGAGCGGTTTATTGCCTGAAGCCTTTTTATATAAACTGAAAAAGATGCATTCAGGGTGGCCATTAACACAAGGGCCCTCTCAGACCAGGCTGGCAGTGTGGCATCCCTCAAGCAGAAGCTTCTCTGGCTCCTGCCTTGAAACAGACGGGTCAGTTGGGTAGAGCTCAGGATGGTTTGTAGCCAGGTGCGGTGGAGGAAATCCAAGTTCCCATTTAACCCTCCAAGGTTGGGCCGTGGCCTCTCTGTGGTGCAAACAGAGCGCAAGATGCTGGCTCCGGGGGTAATGGCTGCCCTTGCGTGGTGGTGCTCCATGGGCCATCTCAGTGACTCTTGGGCCCTGCTGGGAAGGAGGCCCCTATAGTGGCCAGACTGGAGCTGAAGCCCGAGGAGCGCTCTGGAGTGGGCAAGCGGGCACCCAGAGCTCCTCGGTATGCCGCTTCTCTGCTTCTCCTTGCTCCTCAAGACACAGTTCAGGTGTCAACGTGTAAAAGCCTTTCCTGGCATCTTTCTTCCCTGTCGCCGCTGCTTGTGTGCTGCCTTCTGCTTGCAGAGGCCCCTCTGCTCCCCTGCCCTCTAACCGCCCGGTGAGGCTTCAGGCAAGCGCCAAGGGCCACCGGGCTTCCGGCCCTTCTCTCCCTTCCTTCTGCTGCTGGCTTCTTCCGCTTACCTGCGGGGGTGGGGAGAGGAGCAGGTCTTCTTGTCTGCGCAAGTGTGGAAGTTGGGAGCCCTGCCCACAAGAGCCGAGGTCACACGGGTCTCCCACTTCCGTAGGTGCCCCTTGCTACGCTGCTGTTGTAGCAAGTCTCGGCCGTTTGCCGGATGGGCAGGCTGCCCCCACTGACGTGTGTACCACGAGGCAAATCCAAAATGGAGATTAGATTGGAAGGCGGTGCTTCTTTAAAAAGAACACCAGGGCGAATTCCAGCGGAGCGGTACATCTATTGATGGCTGTTAACCGTGATTGCAAAGTAGAACTTAGATTTAAAAGGAATTAGATTTAAAAAAAACACCAGGGCGAATTCCTGATGGCTGTTAACCGTGATTGCAAAGTAGAACTTCCATGCACAGGGGCAGTATATCTCTGGGTAACAGGGAGGGGGGAGGCCTTCATCTCCTGCTCGTGGCATTTCAGCAGACACCTGGCTGTGCACTGTTGGGCAGACCCGACAGGGCTGCGAGAGACGGCTGTGCTCCAGCACAGCGGTCCTTCCAAGCTTTCCAGACCTGGAACAACCCCCCCCCCCCCGAGTTGTGGGCAGAGGCCCTGTGACATCAGAGTCATGTGACAGAAAAGGAGGCGAAGTCACGACTGGGGTCTGCCATTCAAAAAGCGCCATTTCAATTCCATACCTGAAAGTTGGGAAGGGCACAGCTATAGTTCCGATTAAACATCGAGAATATCGTTACCCTTCCAGAAAATCACGTATGGGGAAATTTCCATTTTTATAAGCATCAGTGTAGTGAACATGGTCGCCGTGCCCTTTCTGCTGGGCCTGTCCTCCTGCGGGCAAGGAGAGGCAGGGGGTGCACATCCTTGCTCTCTGGGTCACCCAGAGCGCCGCCCCCCC